AGTTAATCTGCTTTAAATTCATACCCTGTCCTGTTCCAGATTAATTTTCATGTGTAGATAAGCCCCAAAATAGTTCTCTAGACCTAGTGTATACACAGTTCTGCCACAAAGTGACTTTCCACCTGTATTTAAGAATATTCATGTGCATGGCTATGAACCCAGACAGCTCTTCAAAAATGAATCTGCAATGAGGCCACTTCAAACCAGGCCAAAAAGCCTGAGAAACCTACAGCTCCAATTATAATTTTCATTAAAGAAGTATCCCAAATGCTGCATTTATTCTGATTCTCCCTAGCTACGTTGCCGATCTAGTGCTGCTCTATATTTGTGCAACTCAGCACCAGCCATAATTAACATTGTTCTGTTAACTACTTGTTAAAAGAAAGTCATTAGCATTCTTGCTGTTTAAGTAGCTCATTAGATCCATGTTATCAGCCCACTCAAATAATGGAGTTGGGACAGGGGTGGGAGGTGAGAAGTGACAGGTTTATGGCTAAAGTTTTTCCAGGAACTATTCAGAGCCACACAAAGCTCTTTTAGAATAACAGAACAGCTCAGACTTGCCTACAATTGATTACGAGGTCACCTACATTCTAGTCACTGCAGTCCTCTGTTCTGGGTCAAGATGGGTCAAAAGGGCAACGAGCCTTCTGCAGACACTGCAGTCATCTGCCAGCCAGATAAACGAAGCTCCTGTCTTGAAAATGAACACTCCCCTGGGTCCCAGAGGGAAGAGGCTGGGCAGAGCACAGGGACTCAAGTGAAGTCAGCAGCAGGAGCACCCATTCACGCTACAGGGAGCTGTTCCAACAGTCTACATGAGGGATTGTGAGGTCCTGAAGCCCAGTGCCCACTCTGAGGATGCACAGTGGGGATGTCACACACTGTCTAAAGGATGCGTTGGTTTGAAGTCACTTTAACAACAACAGGAACAATAAAAATGGCTCTTGTGGGTCTCCAAATTAAAAGAGGAATCTTTCAAGGGGATTCCTTATCACCCATGCTGTTTGCGGCAGCAATGCTGCTGCTGACATGGACGCTCCGCAAGATAAATTGTGGTTCTCATATCAACAAGAACCACCACTGGTTACCCATTTGTTATACACAGATGATCACAAAAGGAGACGCAGAGATTGGTGACACGTAGGAAGGTTTGGGGAAGATCTAAAACTATGGGTTGGGTTGGCTCGGCTCGGCTCAACGTGTGTTGGCGTCTCAAAAGAGGGGTAAATTGGTACACTCAGGTGGCATATAAGTTAACGAAGGTACTATCCAAGATATCTCTCAGCATGCCCCCTACAAATACCTTGGAATCAGGGAACTGTTGGAGTTACAACATAAGGAAGTCAAAGAAGAAGTGAGGAAAGAATATTAAAGACAAATAAGAATTACTCTGCGGACAAAACTCGAAGAATCTTATCCAAGCCATTAATATGTGGGTCATACCAGTAGTATAGCACACTGCTGGACTGAACACGTAGAATCAAGAGGAGAAGAAAAGAAATGACATCCAAACAAGAATGCTCCTAGCAACGCACAGAGTAATGACTCTCACTCAAGAAGTGCGTAAGATGTGCAGCCAACAATGTGATGGAGGAAAAGGATCTGTAGAGGAAGCAATTGACAATGAAGAATACGCTATCCAAATATCTGAGGACTCAGTCAGAGTAAAAGATCATCTGGTCGCAATAACAAGTGTTGGCTGAGTGTGCATCCCAGCCCAAGAAAGTACAAACGAAAGGAGAATGTAAATCACCAAAGAAAGACTTGAAAGATTTATACAGAAACCAATGCACGGACAGTGGTGGAGAGAGACTGAACCCATTAACGATCAAAGATTAACAAAGAGCCTCATTATGAGTGCACAAGAGCAGTCCTTAAGGCTTAATTACATGCAAAACAAAATTGACCGACAGAACTGCTCCCTGAGTTGCAGACTGTGTTCTGAAAAGAAATAGATGGTGGAGCACGTGCTTAATGGAGGCAGGACCCTGGCTGACTGAGAATGAAGAAAATAAGGGCTACTCTATACTAGAACTGCTACATCAGTGCAGCTGCACTGCTGTAGCGTGTCTGGTAAGACGCTCAATGCGGACGGGAGAGAGGTCTCCCGTTGGCATAAAAAAACCACCTTTGTGAATGGCGGCAGCTATGTCGGTGGGAGAGCTTATCGCTGTCCACATCAGCACTTAGGTCGGTGCTCTTATATAGTGTGTTTATGGTAGATCTCAAAGCATTTTACAAAGGTTGTCGTATCATTATCCCCATTTTACAGATAGGAAACAGAGGCACAGAGAGAGCAAGTGACTAGCCAAAGATCACCCAGCAGGCTAGGGGCAGAGTCAGGAATAGAACCCAGGTTTCCTGAGTCCCAGTCCGGTGCTCCATCCACTAGAACCCCCAGGGGTGATCTGGAAGTGGCAGGTCAGCATGACAGACAGTGAGGTATCACCACCAGCTCAGCGCGGGAGACAAGTCTAGCTGATGGAAAGTGCCGTGGAGGGATCTGAGCACCTGGTCAAGCTGGATCCCTGGCACTCCCAACACCTACTCCTCAAACCTCAGATAACCGACGGATACGGTCGAGTTTCAACCCCTCACACGGGTGGGGGCCTGCGCTGAGGAGGATTTCTATACAGCTATGAGGTAAGCAGAGGAGGTGGCAATGCATGAGCAGTGCGGACAGCTTGTGTCAGTGCATGAAACGTCTCTCGCAGATCAAAGGCAAGAGCCTGGCACAAACCCCTGGTCGCCATCACGGCCAGGCCTGGAAGCAGAAGCGAGGGTGAAGGAGGAAAGCACTGGTTGTGCTCAGATAGGAAGTGACTGACAGCACTAAGAGTGTGAGAAGAGTGCCAAAACACAGCCTTGAAACGGACACCAAGAGAGCTGTCTGGCCACACTGGCTTTTCCTGAATCGAAGGAATATGTCAGTGTACCAAGGAACACTGCCTTTCATGTATGGAAATACTGTAAATCCACACCAGTGAAAACAGGCATATAAACACACACCCAGAAGCACTGTAATAAAAGCACATCCCAATAATATATCTGTAGAAGGCAGCAGAGATATGGCTGGTTAGAACTAAGAAAAAAGTCAGCTTGGGGAAATACGCTGCCATGCTCTGGCACATGAGGAGTTAACTATGTACCAAATACTACTCTCCATTAACACCCAGGCAACTTTACTAGGTTTGCAACAATGCAGCCTAGCACAGGAACCAGAGTTGGGAGGCTTGTGTTTTATGCCAGACACTATCACTGGGGGATTTTGGACAAGCCAGTTAACTGCTCTGTGCCTCACTTTGTCATCCCATCTGTAGAATGGGGATCACACCTTTGCAAAGTGCTTCAGAGTGCTTCGGCTGCAAAGTGCTATACAAGGGGGAAACCTCATTGGCTTCCCTGGGGCTGACCAGAGCACAGGGTGTCCCTATGTTGTTCAACAGGACTGATGTCAACTCTGCAAGTTATTGCAAAGCTCTTTAAAAAGACAATTATAGCCATCAAGGAACAGAAACTCTCTCACCCAAAGTAAAAGTGTAATGGTGCCTTCCCCTGCTTGCGATTCATCCGCCAGCACCAACTTACAGTAATTGGTCCCAGTGCTAGGCAAGTAGTAAAAACCTTTTACGCAAATTACTGCCACCTCCCTAAGCGAACACATTCGCACAGCATCTTGATAACACAGAGTCACGGGGCCTTTTACCACAATAAAGCTGAATGAACGTTATCAATATTTTAAAAGCCGTGAAAAACAGCCACACACGGACTTCTGGCCAGTTAGTTTTAAACACTGAAACGCACTGGGCAAGTTGGATGATAATACGAAACCACATAAACAAGGAACATAATTACCAAATGTCCCATCTCCTATGGTCTCAAGGTTTGGAACCAGAATAGATTAAATAAACAGCCAATTCTGACCCCAGCAAACAACTTGGGGCACATGAAAACAAAAGACCTCTCGAGCACGCTAGGCCATAGCCGCTAAGTGTCTTATATGTACCATAAGAGGGCTTTAAAATCAATAGGACATCTTATTTTACAGACAGCTGAACTACAACGGGAACAATATGTTGACACAAGCGAGTGCCTGCAAGGCCACGAAGGCCTGAGTTCTTCATCGAGAGCCATTCTAGAACTAATTCCAACACCGACTCCCAGAAACAGCATCCAGACTTATAATAAACGTAGCGGCTTTTCCACTCCGGATCAAAAGCCTCCGTGATGAGCAAGTCTCTGATGACATAGCTGCACTTAAGACAGTGGAGTTGTAGTAGCTGAGAATTTGGACCAATATACTCAGAAATGTTTCTTTTCGTGAAACTTCTTAGGCCTTACATTTTCAATGGGGAAAATTTTCAGACTCTGTCTTTTTGTTCTCTACTTGTACAGCACCTAGCACAATGAGGTCCTGGCCCATGACTGAGAGTCCTAAGTGCTACCGTCATATAAATAAATAATAAACCATAATAAAAGATGCAAGGCAGTGTGGGTGGTTGTATTTGTCTAATCACTTACTCCTATGAGAGTGACTGTAAAATACCACCCGATCAGAGTGCTGGCACTACCATAGCCCCACCTTCCCAGAGATTTTGGCTAATGAGACCAAATATTTAGTTAAAAAAAAACAAGACACACACACTGTCTAATTTCTAGTGGACTCATGTCCACATCAGAGAAACCACTGCTGTCCCCCTTGTTGGCATTTGCCTAGACAGTGTGATGGGCCCTTTACAGATTCCTTGCACTGGGATGGACTTCGAGTTTGAACAACCCTCCCAGAAATGGTGCCACCAGGCCAGGATTGCACCACGTGTACTGTGTGCACGTGTGTAAGCTTGCAATGCTGCTGACCGCGTGGTTCCTGTTCTGCGGATAAGCACAAGGTGGTTTAATGTGGCACCTGTTATCAGCACTAAATGAGTGTGCGCGCACACACACACACACACACACAAATACACACACCCCGGCTCAAACCCACAGCGCGCACTTACGAATCCAATCAGGTAGGGGCTGCCAGCATCTCCCAGTAGGTGCGAAGTGAAGCTCTGCAAGGCCACTGCAGTCGCGCGTCGTGTCGGGATAACCACATACTGCAAGGGAGAGGGGGGAAAAACACACAAGGGAAGTGAAATAAATAACCTGCCAACCGTCTCTGTGTGCCTGGGTTTCTTTCCAACTGCAGATCCAGGCTGAGTGCTTGTGTCGTCGGAGCGAATGGGAAAAACAACCCCATGGCTTTCAGTGGCAGCCGTGTCCAGCTCCATACTCACAGCTGTCCTGCGGGCAGCCCAGGCCACTTTGGAGCTTTGCTATCACCACCGCAATGCTAGTGCGCCAGTCTGCAGATGGTTAACAAAGGAGGCTCTCTGTCCCATCTGACCTGCTCCTGCTCTCAACAATATCATAAGCACAAAGGCGGCTAACAAGTGGGCTCCAAGGTGTGCACCCCATGCCGACTCCTCAAATCCGACCTCCCTCTAACTTGCCCCACGGCACTGGAGCCTTTTATGCCGTAGGAGGAGAATGCAAAGGAGGGGGCATGAGTTTTCCAGGGCTTCACCCATGCAGCAGAATGGGGTCAAGCCACATGCCCCTGCCTCCCCCCAAAAACAAGCAGCAGCTGCTTTTTGTAGGGCCAACATGGACCTTCCTTATCGAGGAAGAGACCCCGTTATGTCGGCACCAGACTCAGTGGTGGCCTTGATCCCATAACGCTTGAGGAAACATACCCAAAGCTTGGGGAGGCTCAGATCTGGTTCTGAACTTTGTGGCTCTGACCCATCTCCCATGTCCGAAAGGGAATTTCCCTGGGTGATTTCTACGAGTTTAGTGGATTTTATACCCACTCAGGTGCCTGCGTGCTGGATCAGAAGTTTGGTTGAGTTAGAGCAGTGGTTCTCAACATGTGGCCCAGCTGTGTGCTAAAGGCTGCCCAGCCCACGTGGCGGGGTCCAGAGTCCTGGCTGCCCGATGTGGCGGGGTCCAGGCTGCCGCCCGGTCCCACACAACAGGGGGCAGTGTCCAGGGTCAGGGCTGCCCTGCCGCCCAACCCAGCCTGGCCCCGTGCTCCACTGTTGGCCCAACTCTGTGGAGGGGTCTCTGAGCAGGGGGTGCTGGGCACAGGGGTCTGTGGGGGAGCTGTGGTTCTTAACTGCATATGCGGCCCACAGTGATAAATAGGTTGAGAACCATTGAGCTAGAGCATCTCTTTTAGAGGGAGATCCAGTCTGGATTAAAGATTGCAAGTGATGGAGACTTCACCATGTCCCTAGGCCTGAATTTGTCGTGTTCAGCTTCCAAGCACTGGATCTAGTTGTCCTTTTGCTGCTGGATTAAAGCGGTCTGTCCTACCAGAAATCTCTTCCTGTGTAGATTCTTGTAGATCTTTTAACCTTCTCTTTGATAAACGAAGCAGACTGAGCTTCAGCCGTTTACTATCAGCCACTGTTTTTCTAGACCTCAAATCATGCTTGTAGCTCTTTTCTGAATCCGTTCCTAGTACGGTGTATTTGCTGATGTGCCACTCTAGCCCGGATGTAACCCCATAATGGAGTTATACTAGGAATGACTTTGCCTCTGTTTCACTAATTTATTTATCCTGGGTTTTAGGGAGCTAATTGCTCCACAGTAACATGCCTCTCTCTCAGACGGAACGAGGCAGCTTTGTTTCAATAAAGCATAATTTCCTCCTAAGGTGGGAAGGTGCAATCACTGTGTGTAAAGGGTTAATCACATGACTTTAAAAACTTTTAAAGGCCCCATAATGGAGCAGCAGAGCCTACAGCAAACAGGCTCCGTGAGGGACATGTTTGAACGTGCATATATCACTTCAAGAATGATGGGTAATATGGGACTTGGGCACTTGGGAAAATTTTACCCCATTTCTTGTGATTTTGCCCCTGCTCCTCAGGAACACCTGTGGGGGTTCTTTCATCCCGGCTATGATGGTGCTGCAAACATAACCAGTGTGCACTTGATGCAGCATGCTATTTAGACGTTGTTACACCCCTGAGGTGCAGCAGCACTCCACCAAACGAACGCAAAGCTCAATCAGCTCCCACACAACATCCTGGTCACAATGATAACACACAGTCCTTCCACAGCGCCTTCCATCCCAGGAGTCAAATAAACAAACACTGAGCCACACTGAACTCCCGTGACAGAAAGGAGCATTATCCCTATTTTACAGGTAGGTAAACCAAGGCACAAGGACATCCGATAGGTCACACAGTGAATCAATGGCACACCAAGAAACAGAAGCCAGGAGTCATGGCTGCCACACAGTACCCCACACCAGATGACGACACAGAGTGCAAGGAACTTCCTGGGCTGGTGAACAGTAGGTGAACTCCAGCTCACCCGCCCTCACCCAGTTTGCACAGGAGCTACAGGGAACTGCTGTAAGAGTGACTTTGAGAAGGTACAATCACATTCCACCCTGGAGGGGTCAGATCTGAACAGAGGAGGGGTATTCAGCTAAAAACAGTAAAAAATATTTATTTGTTATATTCGTTATAAATAGCAGGTGAATGAAACCCAGCTCTTCTGACTCACAATCCTATGCTTTAGCCATAAAGCCATCCTTTTCCAGAAAAAGAACAATTTAAAGGCATTAGAATTTACTATTGATAAATGAGTAGCAGTAAGTGAATGCTATTTGGGACAAATGCAGCTTCTTGTCTTGGTTAACTGGGTTTTGACCATTAATTGTTCCTTTAAAAAAAAAAACATAGCATTGCAAATAGCAATACAACTTCCAGTAAGATTTTAAGCTAATGAACTCATGAAATTATTGATGGCTGAGACCAGACTTTATAATGCCAAATACATTTACGTGTCTAGCTTGAAATCCTAGTGACAGATATACAACACAGCAACCAAATGAAACATGAGATTGTTTCTCCTCCCTTAAATACTGTTAGGGGGAAAAACAGTTATTCCTGCTTAAAGGATATTTTATTTTGACAGAGCGGAAATAGCTGGTAGGAGACCTTAGCTACTGTCCTAGGGAGGATAGCAGTAAATTAAAGATCTGAACTGGGATTTCGATATTAAAATAGAGCTAAATTCAAACCATGCACAGGCTGGTTAGTTAGAACGTCCCAGCGGAAGCTGGAGGTGGAACAGTCACACCAGCCAAGAGGAAGAGTGTGGGATTGTCCTGGCTCATCTCCCTGACTCCAGGTTGGGTGGCACACATCACACAGGATGTCCAGGGAGGCTGACGAAGCTGCTCTGGGGCGAGCCTCGCCTCTTTAAATAGAGGCTCAGAAAGGCTGTGGTTTTATTACTGACGTATTCCCCTAGTGGAGCTGGCAGAACTGGTTTTCCCAGACATGTGCCCTGTCCTTACTCAGTTTAACTGTGAATGCCTCATAGCTAAAGGACAAAATATCCTTCCAATTTAGGGCTCTCATGTCAAAGACACAACTTTTAGATGACGGTGCTGAGAATAAGGCTTTGTTTTGTGCAAATCTGCATTTGGAATAAATATCAGCCTTTTGGAATCTCAGACAACAAAGCACAATCCATCCTGCAGCACTGACTGTTTATCAAATCCAATTCATGAGGGCCTTTTGCAGGACAGACATCAACTAGGGAGCTGGGAGCACAGATAAATCCACAGCAATGGAAGCGTGGCAACAGCATGGAGCTAGCTAGCAAGAACTAACATTTAAATATTAAGATAATAAGCAAACATAAGGACCTTGGAACCTGATCCTGCAAAGTCTATGAAGCTGCTTAGCAAACTGCAGGATTGGGCCCCATAAGCAGTCATGAGATTTGCAAACCTTGGGTGACCTTGGCTAAGTCACTTAGGGTGAGATCTCCAAAAGCCCTCGCTGCTGGCCTAATTCTGCTCCCACTGAAGTCAGGATACAATTCTCATTGACTTCAATGGGAGCCAAGTTCGGCCAACCCTGAGAGCTTTTGGAAACTACCCTTCATCTCTGTGACCCAGGTTTTCCATCTGCACAAACAGGATAACAAGATTTATGTATGTCACCGGGGTGTCGGGAGTCTCATGTCCTTAATATTTGTTAAATGCTTGGAGAGCCTCAGACTGCAGGCACCACAGACCTGCAAAGTGCTGTTACTAGTCCTCCAAATAAATATATTGCCAATTAATTTCAATTGGGTGTTGTTCAAAGTGAATCCCAGCTGGAGCATTTACACACCTCTCTGCTTGCTAGGATGGTTATAAAGCTGTCTGATAAAACATGGTTCTATAATCTTGGCTCTCACTTCCTGTCTGACTACATATCCTTTCAAGACCCACGTGTAATATAAACGCACGTCAGACCATTTCTTCAATTTATGGGCTAGTATTGATCCGCATGGATGTTCACATTTATTTGTATAATGCTCTTAAGGTCATCCTCCCACTCATAATGTATTAAACAGGGACATTATTGTATATTACAGACAGTTCATTTGTCTAAATAGCCAACTGCAAGAGTGGCTTAAAAGTCTATGTCAATTAAAAAGTATTAAAAATCATTGTTGATGTTATTTTATGTTCTCTTTCCTATGCTTCACTTAGGGTGGGTTTTTGTGTGTGTTTGTTTTTTGTTTTGCTTTTAAACAGGATCTTAGAAATTATTTCAAAGTTAAGTTGTTGTTGTTGTTGTTGTTGTTGTGAGGGGTTTTTTTTGTTTTGATTTGGTTTGCCCTGAGACAATGCTTGGGACTACAGCAGTGTCTCTACAAAAAACAATGTAAGATCCAGTCATACAAGGCAGAGTGCAGACACCTGAAAATCTATTCAAATGCTACACTCCCATTGAAATCAAGGCAAATTTTAAAGGGGTTAAAGAGGAAGCAGGATCATGCCCGTAGCCCCTGGTTTAACACAAAACATTTAGAGGAAGGATAAGGATGGTCCAGTGATTAGGGAACTAGCCGGGGACCTTGGAGACCTAGATTCGAATCCCTGCTCTACCACAGGCTTCCTGTATGACCTGGGCAAGTCAATTAGTCTCTCTGTGCCTAAGGTCCCCGTCTGTAAAATGGGGATGGATAACAGCACTGCCCTGCCTCACAAGAGCGTGGGAGGGTAAATACAATAGATTGTGAGGTGCTCAGGTACTACAGTGATGGGGACTATAAAAGTACCTTAGACAGACATACATAGGCATTTGTTCTGGGTTTGTACAGCACCTAGCACAATGGGGTCCTGGTCCCTGGCTGGGGCTCCCAGGTGCTACCATAACACAAAGAAATAATGTGCTCAACTTTCACCAAAGCCTTTAAGCACGTGCTTAGCTTCAAGCTTAAGTTCTTTGTTGAATTAGGGCCTTAATGTGTAGAAAAACTGGGCCTGACTCTTCACTTACTCACGTTTGTATCAGTGAGGAATAACCTCATATGGAGTCACACTGCCGTGAAACTCGGAGGGACAGAAGAATCAGGACCTGCACCGTACTGGGGAACGTCTAGTGATTAACGCACAGGACTGGGTTCCAGTCCAAACCCTGCCACGAACCTGCCATGTGACCTTGGGCAAGTTCTGTAACCCCTCTGTGCCTCTGTTTCCCCACCTGTAAAACATACCGATTGATAACCTCTCTCACAACAGCACAGCGAGGATCAATATGTTTCAAGATCCTTGGGTGGGGGGAGCTACAGACATGCAAAGGGTTAACACATATTCAGAGCAAAAGCCAGTTGAGGAGGTGAGTACTCTAGAGCTTTCCAGTCAGAGAGGCATGACATGTTTTATGCAGAGAACAAATGGAAGATGAGGGACATGATGTGAAAAAGCCTTGAGTGTTTCCTCTTGGAAGAAGTGGACACAGTCCAAAACGTCTTCATACTTTTTTTCCTCCTCCCCTCCCCTCAAAGTAAGTGTGTGTGTGTGTGTGTGTGTGTGTGTGTGTGTGTGTGTGTGTGGTGTGAGTGAGTGAGTGAGAGATGAATGGCTAGTTTCCTGGGGCTACGTCAGACAGAGGTAGATGGCTGCCTGTGTGTGTGTAGCGGGTGACTTCCTATTACTAAACAAAGCCAGTGGGGACTCTGGGTGGTAAAACTGGCCAATTGGCAGCCCATTCATGAGCTCTCGCTGAGCTCCATTCACAATTCCTTAGGATTTCAGGGCACCAGTAGAATTCTACGGAGGTTTCACCGAACTGACGTTCAAAAGGAAGATAAGGGAGGATATACAGCTCTTTCCCTCACGGCAAAAGAGAAAAAACAGGCTGGAGTTGGAGGTAGGCTTTTAAAGGGACTTGTGAACACCTCAGGCTGTCCATTGAAATCTGAAAACCTGTTTCAACCCCCCCGCCAGAAAGATGCTTTGACAGCATAGACTCACCATTAGTATGTCAGCTGTGATTGCCCAGTTTGAAAACAGAAGAGTTTCTCCGATAAAAATGCAAATCTGTCATAACAAAACACATACAAAGGACAAGGTTTAGTCACATGAAACTCAATGGGGGGGAGGACAGGGGAAAGGGGAATCATCTGCCACAAACCTTCCTATACGGTTTGTTTATTTCAAACTTATTCCAAGGCTTCTACCTACAATAAGTCCCTGGTTAATGTTCAGAACAGACCACATTACCAATATATAGATTTTTATCTGAACTGAGGGCTTCGACCATGTCTCCTTTACCAAATATTGTTTACAAGCTAGAGAACAGTTAGGCAAAAGGCTGACACCTTCAGTGACAGATTAACATGAGAAGTCAACGTGAGTGTATATCACGGTGGATTCCTGGTTTCAAAACATGAAGTCACATAGACCAACCAGAAAAGGAACAACATTTGTGTTAAATGGAACTCCCTAAGTCAGTTGCTTCACTAGCAATTAGGTTAAGTATTAAAGGTCATATAGCAAAGTAGGAATTAATTTCTCTAACCACAGAACAGGTGTATCAGTGCAAGATTCCCTCAATATAATACGAGGTCTCTTTCCCTCCTCTGGAACGAACATACATCTAGGAATCAGTAGTAATAGTTTAGGCCCCAATGCACTGAAGCACTAAGTGCATACTTGAGCCCAACCCCATTCAACAAAGCACATGGCCCATGCTAGGTAGAACTGGGGCTTTAGTCTCTATAGCTAATTCAGTCCTTGGCCTCTTGCGGAGAATCAACAAGAGTAACTAACTTATTTCAAAAGTACACGTAATTGTTTTGAACACCCGAAAAATAAAAGTGAAATGTCTTAAATGGGATTCATTCTTCCTTTCAACTTTATACCTTGTGCTTTAATACCATCTGTTTGTCAGATGATATGGCTCAACTCAACAGGAGTACACACCATTTTGATAGGCTTGTGATGACCCAATACTCCTCAAATCAAGAAGGGAAGAAAAGCCACGAGTGTCATAATACGCCATCTCAGCAGCTTATTTTGCTTTCTCAAACCGTTCATTTTTTGACACTCTACCTAAAAGAAACATTTCTCCTGAATTCAGTCCTGGTGACAACTCGGGAGACTCAAGCTCTCAATTTATTTTTAATTCACTTCTTCAGTATCTTCTCAGGTCTGATTACCGATTCCACTTCTAACTGCCTCCTTTCTCCTTCCTACTCCTTGACCTCATTACCTTCAAATGGGGTACAATTCATTTTGGGGATGAAACTGGCTATGGGGGATACTTCTGAAGTACATTGTTTGCACCGTCCCTGTGAGTTCTGATGGCCTCTGAGAGGGGATGAAAGATTTAGCAACATGCCCACTGGAATTAATTGGGTTAATTTATCTTGATCATGTTAGGGGTGGGCAAACTTTTTGGCTCGAGGGCCACATCTGGGTATGGAAATTGTATGGCAGGCCATGAATGCTCACGAAATTGGGGTGCAAGAGAGGGTGAGGGCTCTGGCTAGGGGTGCAGGCTCCAGGGTGGGGCCAGAAATGAGGAACTCAGGGTGCAGAGAGGCCTCTAGGCTGGGGCTGGGAGTGCGGGCTCCGGCTGGGGCTGGGAGTGCAGGAGGGTGCTCTGGGCTGGTACTGGGGGGTTCTGAGGGTGGGAGGGGGATCAGGGCTGGGGTGGGGTGGGGAAATGGCTCAGGGTTGCAGGCTCCAGGCGGCGCTTACCTCAAGCTTACACCAATTAACCGAATGCTGGACATCTTCCTAGACAGGAAATTGTAGTGCAACTTTTTGTTTGTTTCATTTAAAATCAAGCGCTACATCCCTGGATTGATGCGTTCTGGTCAGAGAAAGCAACGTTTTGACTTTCTGATGTTACCCTGCTCCCACCTTCCTGCTCAGTCCTAAAAAAACCCACCTCACTTCTCTGTCCTGCATAAAAACACAAGGGCCTTAGGGTTTAATGTAACTGGGATCTGTTTCACTGCCCAGGATTTCCATTCTCCTGTGTTAAAAGCAAGCTCCAGACCTGGGACTGGACTGTGGTAGGAGTCCCTCCCCTAGGCCAGCCTGCACACTGAGGGAAAGAAGACGAGAAATGAAGGATTCTGCATGGGAGGGTTTTGAGCCAGTCTGAAGCGTACTTGGTCACACTTTACTACAGTATAACTCTATTGCAACTGCCGTGTCATCACAGACACTGGCCAGAAAACAAGAATTCCACTTTGTGAAAAACTCGGAGGTTTCAATTTTCGTTTTTGTTCTGTATCAGAGTGAAAACGAGACCTTTCAAAGCTTTGACACGCCCACCCACCCCAGAGGTTAGGGCACTTGCCTGGGATGTGGGAGACACAGACACTCAGGATGAGCGGTATCTAGGTTCAAAGTTCTGCTCTGCCTGATTCAGAGGAGGGACTTGAATTTGGGTCTCCCACATCCCCCGCAAGTGCACTACCCTTGCAGGCTATTGGCTAGACTGAAATCTCCATCTCTCTTCACTACCATCCTGGACCATTTCAGTGCCAAGTTTTGGTTTTGACAAGTTAGCATTTCCAGTGGAAAAAACATGTCGCTGAAAAACTCCCAACCATCTCTAGTAATCACACACTTCTCACGGTGTAATTACCACTAATTCTTTCAAATGTTCAGTGAACTGCATGACTGATTTACTTACTACTCCTTTGGTAGCCTTTTCATTATGCATTATCTCATTGTTTCCTTGTATCCCCATCTGTCTGCATCCACCTGTGGTCTCATACTTAGATTGTAACCTCTGTGGGGCGGGGACCATCTTTTTGTTCTCTGTTTGTACAGTGCCTAGCACCATGACCCCCCCGGTTCATTACTAGGGCTCCTAGACCTTATGGTAATAAAAATAGATAATAATACAGTGTATCTGCTCTATTATTCTCAGTCAAGCAGCAAACTGTCCAGTCTCATGAATTAAATAGTAATTACAGGTTTCAAAAAGGATAGCCTCAGTACAACTGAAATTTAATTACATTGTAATTACAGAACTTTCATAATAAAAGTGACCGACATTTCCTGGTACTGGCATTCTGGACTAAGGCAATGCCCTTACCTGGCTAAAGCAGAACAAAGGAGGAGAACGATGGATTTCTGCACATGTGCTATATCCCTGTATCTAATCTACAGCACTTATTGGTGAGATTTTGATGGGAAAGGTGAAAAAGGTACAATGCCATTTTGCCCCCAAACAGAGCATGGTAATGCTGAGATGGCAGTCAGCAAAAGAAAGAAGGTCAAGCAGAAGAGAAGCACGCACAAACCAGTGTCTCAGCCCCATTGCATGGAAGGATGCACACCGATCTGCTAAGAAGTTCAGTGGACAGGGCACACGCGAGATTCAGAGAATGCCCCATACTTACATAGGCTCCCACAATGCTGCTCTTGGCAGCAACGAAGATCAGACAGATGAAGATGGCCGACCCTAACATGCCGACGGCACAGACCAGGGGGTCAGCTCGCTGGGTTTTTAACCGGCACCATTTGGTTGCCCCAGCCCCTGTGATCACGCCCAGAAAACCAGTGAAGCACGTGATTGCTCCGAAGATCAAACTATTAAAACAAAATATTGAGAGAGGGTTATTTGCTCACTGATGCACTCATGTGGACAAGCTGTATTCACAAACAAACAGGGAAAATACAGGGTGATGGGATCTGAACTTCACTCTCTGGCTTTGTGGGTTTAAGAAATACAGTCTTTGTCACGGTCAATTTTCCTTGAAGAAAAGAGAGGTATATTAGGTGCAATTCACCCCAGCTCAAAGGGCTATGGGCCTAAATGGGACTTGGGAGGTGCACGGGGCCTTTGGCTGTCTCTCTGAACAGGGGTGAATTTCATACAAAGTGCACTTGACTAAGTCTGCCTTATGCATCTGGGTGTTAAGCAGCAGTACAACAGGGCAAATTCTCAGTGTTGTCGATTCTCATGATTTCATTGCAAGTCTTGTGATATTAGATGCTATTCTCAAAGCCTCAGCCCCCGGATTCATTTGATCAGGGAGAAAGTTTCTAGCTCGCATGGTTGCGGAGAAAAGCTTGAGATTTTAACATGGGCTAGGCCGGAACACAGCAGAACGTTGTTCCGGTACTTATAAAGAAACAAAATGGTGTCCTCTGCACAACATGACCTCGCACTCTCAAGGTCACACTGGGCAGGGATGGAATAACTGTACTTAAAAAATCAGAACTGCACCCTACACCCTAGTGGCTCAAAAAATAAGGCAAATAAAACAATCTCTAAATGATCATTTGAACAAATTCTTGTGATTTTTAAGCCAGTCTCCTGATTTTGTGACACCTGACTCACGCTTTTTGAAGGCTTGGTATTGGCAACACTGAAAATCTGTAACTTGCTTTCTAGTTAGCAACTTGTGGCAAACGCCTGGACTACCGAGGAACTGGGAATGCCACGGTGACAATAAAAATTAGAAGGCCGCTTGTTCCAAAACTGGTTGCCAAACCATGTCTGCAAAGTCTGCATGGGAAAATTCTGGAAAATGTTATGTTTGCATGTGGGGAAGAATGGAAGAGATGTCCATCGTGGGGAGCCAGCAGGGGCCTTGTACACAGTTAGTCTGACGCAGAGTTCAGAGTAGAACAGGAGAGCAGCTTATTTCAGACACAAGCTACAACAGAAAGTTCTGCACTAAGCTCTGTGAGGGCAGAGTGGGCACACCCAGCAGCCTCTCAGCACTCCTGGATCTGGCATGAGAAACAAGCAAGCAACAGGTTGACGATGGATTAGGAACCACGACTCCATTGGAACCCCCAGGTCCTCCCCCTACACTGTGGGTTGAATGTGTCATACAAGTAATAGGCAGGGTGGGTGCTAAGGAGCGTAAAAGGGAGTTAGACATGCAAAGCTCATTGAATTTCAATGGGAGTTAGGTTCCTAACTCCCTTTGGTCCCTGTGAAATCCTATCCAAACTGATTCCTCTGCTGCCGTACTACACATTTGCTATTTATTTGTCAAAATGTAAAGGAGTGTCTGGAACACAACAGTCATTGCAGTAATGGCAATGGAGCTTCAGGATAGCTAAAACTGTAGGAGGAGAAAACCTCCCTTTATGAACAAGAGATGGGCAGGCTGTTGGGGCTGCTTTCTCCACTAGCAACATTTTTACAGGATGGCCTGATTCTGCTGGATTAACCACGCTTGGCAGTTAATTTGTGACATGATATTATATTAGGAAAATCCACCTGTCTAAGCTTTGTTTCTTATAGTCAGTACAAAGTCAAAAAGCCGGCAACAGGATGCTTTCCTACAATTTTAACCCAGTCATAGCAACGCTTTCATCACTTTCTGAGCACCTTTCATGCAAAATGTAACCGGATACAACACAAAGCAACGTTCCATCAATGGTGCTGAAAGAAGAGACTCAGGTGCAACGTGAAGCAATACAGAGTGGAGCGAGCGCCTTGTGTGATACATTAGCAAAGCCAGTAGGACCCAAACCTTACTTTTCTTCCCCTGTCATCACAGCTCTCACGCTCTCCCCTACTGCCATGGTGGATACACATCGAAAGTAGTAACAAAGTACTAGCTCTTAAAGGACCAGAGGACAAGGGGGTCCAGGTGGGGCAATCCTTAAGTAATTTAATGTAAAATTAGTGAAAGAGGCACCTCAGGCTGTTAGAGATTTCATGGCACATGTTAAGGGTATTAACTAGAGCTGATCAAAAATTTTTCACCATTTTTAAAAATTAAAATTGCAACATATGTGAAAAATATTCCATTTTCATTCAAAATTCTCAGGTTTTTGTTGAAAAACTGAACTAGTTTTCAAATTTTGATTTAAAACTTTCAGTTGCTGAAAAATCTTCAGGTTTTTATTTCCCAAAAAACTTGAGAAAGTCAAGAGATTGCAACAAAAATGAAAAAAAAATAATCATTTTTCCAAATGCTCTGTATGGGGGGGGAAAATGATGATTTCCCAATCAACTCTCACATTAACTCTGGTATGATGGCCAATTTCCAACTCTGGTAACTGTGTTTTTACTACCCAAGTTCCCCCTGCAACTTGGCAGTTCTTCACTGTTTTTTTTAAAGAACAGGTTAGACAAACTTGTCAGAGATGGTCTCGATAATATTTAGTCCTGCCTCAGTGAAGGGGACCGGACTAGATAACTAGGACTTTCAGTCCTGCACTTCTATGACTTTATTCTTCCCAAATAACGTGCTATAATGTAGTCCTACTGTTGCAATCCACTTCAGAAGCGGCTGCATGTTTGTAGCACGTGAGCGATACCAGCATACACGCACCATCAAGTGCTTAGGGATATCTTCAGGATGAAAGGTCATTATTAACACTCCTCTCCAGTATTAAGCTACTCCAGCATGGCAGGGAAGTTTATTCAGTCTGATACCCACAGCCCTTATTTCTTTATTGCCTTAGGGTCAGCACTACAGTAACATTAAAGAGAAACTTTCACCCTGGGGCAAGTTCAAACCCAGAGCCTTTATATGAAAACAGTAACAGGCAAAACCAGTTTTTGATACTTTCCCTGCAAGTCTGGGATCTCTCTTCAACTCAAAGGACCCCCAAAGCCCTTCATCCAGTCAAAGATCCTCCTTTGGCAGCCTGTTTACAGAACATGGTGCATCGGGCAGAGGAGCCCCACCACAGGGGCTGAGGACATGGCCACCAGGGCACTCCCTTGCTGGCTCCTGGAGGGAGAGCAACCAAACTGAGTCCTGAACTTTGGCCACCACGCCAGCCCAATCCCTGCTATTGCTGAAGAAATGTGAGCCATGGTAACATCTTCCTCTCTCGCCATGGCAACTATCTTCTGCTGGATCCTGCAGTGAGGTCATAAACTCCTACTTATGACATCACAGCGTGCAGCATTCCATGGAAAGATCTCCAAGCGCTAGATACACACAAATCAAACAAACGGCTTAGCCCCGCTGCAGAAGTGGTACGTCCACGTTACAGATGGTGAAGCTCAGGCACAGAGAAGCCCCATCCCCAGGTAACATCGTGCTGGGAATCAGTGGCCATGGCAGAGGAGAATTGAGATCTCTCAGTCCTGTGCCTAAGCTACACAGCCATCTTTCTTCCCTGATCTCACCTGCCCAGTATTCTGGCTTCACTACAAATTCACATCCAGTAGCGAGAAAGGGATCAGCTGCAGCAGCGAAGAACAAATTCTGGATTTAAACCCCAGTGATTCCTATCATTGTTGCAAAGGGCCACAGGAAGTTATAGGAATCCTAGTAAATGGATTTCATTCTCTTAAGCCCAAGCTCTGTAAGTCTGAATGTCATCTGCGGTAGGAAAGCCCCTCTTTACAATAGCACAGGATGAGCCTTACCTGTCCTTGGTGCCGCAGGGCTCCGAACTGCAGGTCTCAACAGTTTTCTGCACAACTTGTGCCCTGTGAAGGTAGAGGGGGATCCACATGCCCAGCGCCCCTGTGGCAAAGGAGACAGCTGAGGTGGCCAGCGACGAGAACACATAGCTGCGGCTGTGGAGATGCAAGAGAGAAAAATCCAGGGGGAAATGTTAGCTCCAGATCTGCTTTATCCCTGAAGTAGGGAAACCCCAAAGAAATAAGAGCCATGGGAGGGAGCAAAACAGAAAACGGCATCAGCTCAGTCCCAACCCCATAAACCAGAGTGTCCCTAGAGCTAAGATCAAATCACTAGCTGCTCAAATAGGCTCTGATGATATAATTACAGTACTTTCTGTTGGAGCTGCCTCTGCATTTTGCAGCGGTCGCCAGTGAGGTTTTAGTCTGTTACAGGCCACACGACATAGGTTTGTAACTCAGGTTACAGCATCACTCACAGTGTATACAGCCTATGTCTCCCTCACTTGCACCTTGTTCAGTCATCTACATCAGTGCACAGCAGGGGTAAAAGTCTACCAGGCTTCGGTGCGGTACTGTTTCACACTCACTTTGCACAGGTGCAGCGATGGTGCAAGGCAATGGAAAATCAGGCCCAGAGTACAGTTCTAACACACTGTTGTGACAGTAACAATACGTCTCACCTCCTGGACAGCACTTCACATCTGCAAAGTGCCACGTGATCATTAAGTAATATAGTCAGCACTCAATCATCAGGATGCCCTCCCTCTAGTTCTGCCTACGTGCCTGCTCCAAATGCCAGTCTCCCCATCTGAGTGACCCTGTCTCACTGGGAGAGTAGCATCATTACCGTTTGGATTACCAGGCATTCAAATGATATGAGGGTAAGCCCCATGAAGACACCTGTGAATTAACCACAACCACGTGCCCAACGCCCTTGGGCTGACAACACTGGGAAGATGCACTAGTCAGTACTGTCAGAAGGAACAAGTTCCACTTTGGAACTCCCAGGGCAATCGGCAGGTAAATGGAGATGTGCTCGGATGTAGTCGCAGAAACATCCTGACAGCGAGTGCAGCAGAATGACTGACACTGTGAAAGTATGGGTGCATAGCCATGTGGAACTGTGTAAGCATGTGTATACCTGCAAGCGTGTGCAGGCCTGCAAGCAAGTGCATGCATTTGTATATTTGCTCCTCAAAATTCACTTTGACATTTAATCCCCCCCCCCGCCGCCTCAGGAAGGTGTCTCCTTTCCTGGTACCCCTCAAGACAGATAAAAGGGCTGAAAGCCAGTAACACCGTTTGCTCTTTCATATGTTTCTACTTCCACACTTTAGCTTCCCTGAAGCGAGAACCAGATATGGACCTTAGAAAACCCTCCAATCTGAACCTTGGAAAGGGTAGATCCAAATTTGGATTCCAACTGGGGATCATCCCTTGTGAAAACACAACTGTGGTTTCCTTTCTCAGGCCCAAGGATCATGCTTTCTGCTGCTCCTCGAGCGTTGCCACTTGCAAATCATACAGCAATAGAATGGCAAACGCTATCTGACTCCCAGGCTGAGAGTTAAAGGCCAAGCGCATTTTAGCAGAGCTCTCTTACTTTCTGATCAGTGCCTTCATGTCTCTTAGCCACGAGGTCCGAGCCTTCAGCTGTCCCCCCAGCTGTTCCACATTGCCTCTTTTAGCAGCAGGTACAAATATCAAGATGAGTGTCCCTGTTATCATGCCTAGGAGTGGAGATACCTGAAAGAGAGGACCTGGGAATCAGCACAGGAAGTTGGCAGTGGTTACCACGGCTAGTCAAAAAGAAACAGATTGCATTAGTTTCATTTCAGTGACTAGGTTCTTTACATCTGGTCCAAATCTGTATGCTCCCACTGCCGCATCTGCTCCTCTCCCTCCTTTCTTTGTCACTGTCAAGACTCTTACTTACTCTTGTAGCTCGGCTTTGGGGATGCTTCTGATTAAGGTGGTCATATTCTGTGTTACTGCTGTACCCAGCTCATCTTCTGTGACATTTAACCCTTAGGAAGCTAGCTTACTCCCAGGTGGGCTAAGGGCCTGGCTAATTTCTAGAAGTATTTGAAGGGTGTCTGGGGTGTTATGCCAGGAAGGTGAAAGGTTTTCTGGATGTTGGGAGTGAGTCACTTTCTGACCTTTCCCCTACTGCACATGCAAGTGCGTGCACATGCCCCTTGCCCATCTCTGGCATTCCATCTTCAGCCAGTTCCTGAATGCTCCCTGCATAGGGCATTCCAGATGGAGAGGGGGGAAAACTGAAGAGGACACTGAAAGACCAGCTCCTTCAGTAACACAGCATCCTCTGGCACTCTACTGGGGCACTGGAATTACTACTGAACCAGAGGGAAGACTGCAACCTACAAAGCACTGCTACAAACACTCTGGTTCTTCTTCTGAGGTCTCTCATCCAAGTATGACTAGCGTGACCCTGCCTAGGTTAGGAGATCTGGTGAGATCACAAGAGGTGACACAGTAAAGCAACACACCTAGGAAATAAGCAATTACACTACTACTAGATTTAGGGCTTGTCTATATGAGGACGCTCAAGAAAATTAATCTGAATTTATTTAAGATGTGAATTTAAAGTGGATTAATTAAACCACAGGAAACTCCTCTCCTATTCAGAATTCAAGTGGTCTTAATTCGATTTAGTTAATTAACTTGTGAGTTACTGACATTTAACTAATGCATTTTAAATTCATACCTTTAGTAAATTCGGATTAACTTTCGTAAGTGTCCCCGTGTAGACAAGACCAAAAGAAAGACCAACGTCTCCTGACAGTTTCCATATGTTTTGTACAGTCAGGGTATCATTGGCAATTTGTTGTGATGTCTGCATAGAACATGGAGAGACTGACGCACAGGGAGCCTGGAATCTACAAGCACAGGAGCCCAGAAAGACACTTGCCAGAAACAAAGGTGGAGATTTCACTTGAAGAGAAGGGAGCTAATGGTAACTTCCTGCATCAAATGATACCGTTAGCCCTTTTGAGCAAGGTTTCTCAGCCTGTGAGTCACAACCCAAAGGTGGGTTCAGGTTAGGTCTCCAGAATGTGTCAAGGAGTCAGATGGGAGGCCCGGGGGAGGGCTGCAGACAGAGCCCATCTCACAATCACCCCACAGCGGCGGCTCCTGCAGCTCTGGTCCCTCAGGGCTGACTGGGCTCGGTGCCCCACTCTGGGCCTTGTGACCGGGTCCACAGGGTGGTAGTGCCACTCAGGTTTGGCCCAACCACTCCTCTCTCATGATGATAGGGGGCTGGCTGGGCCAAATTTGAGTGAGTGATGCTTTGATACCATGCACCGGGTCACACCACCGCTCACACAAATTTGGCCTGGCTGGCCTCCTGTTAAGGGGTCTGGCCCAAATCTGAGCAGCACTGTGACCCCAGAGGTTGCAACACCTGGAGCGAGGCGCTGTGCCCAGCCAGCCCAGCAGGACAGGAGCCGCCACTATAGTATGCATAAGTGTACTTTTTTAGCATTCATTATGTTAATGTGTATACTATATATCGTGAGCACGAAATATTTCCTACGCCAGATGTATTTGGCACGAAAGCTATAACGTGGGTCACGCCATCAAGGTTTACAACTGGGTCCTGAGCCCCAAAGGGTTGAGAACTACGGCCTTAGGGTGCCTTTCATCTCGATGCACTAGGCCAGCATGATGCCTATGTAACACATCAGTCTCATTTAAGCGCCATGGGTTGAATGAGGGGCTTAGGCCTAGCTCAGAAGTCAGCTTCACCCTTAAAGCATTCCTGCCGTTAGGTAAGGTGGCCAATTTTCTGGTCTGAAACTTCATGGCATTAAACTTCATTCTTTTCATTCTAGGTTCCTGGTTGGAATCTGCTCCCCACTCAGTTGGCTGCTGATGGACTATTCCTGGTGACTTTACTGGCTTCACTTCTCATTTCCAGCCGCCAAAAAGTGCCGTTTGTTTGAGGTAGGGAATCCATGTATTTCAGCACCTGCTGTTATAAACTGCATTGGCACAAGCTTCATGCAATTAATTGCCTTCAGGAACTGCCAGCCCTGAGAGAGCATCTCACTCAACCCCGTGCTGGCCAGACTGTCAAAGGCCAGAAAGCAGGTTTGCTGGGCCACTTCCTGCCAGCAATTTCAAGACATCACTGGGTGTGTATGTGTTTGTGTGTGTGTGGTTTATTATCTTTTCAACACATTTATCAAGGTCCCTAGAGGTTAAAATAGAAGGAAACTGAGTGTCTCTGGGCAGAAAAACAAGCGGAAACTGGAACAAAGTGTTTTTTCCCTCAAAGCAGGAATTTCTTGATAGCAGGGGACTGAAAGGCTACCGAGCTGATTTAAGGTTCCTCCTATTCCCCAGCCCATCAAGGAACCACTGTCGACTGCTAATGAAGTGATTGGAAATCTGCTACTCCCAGGCAGGGAAACAAGCACAAAGAACCAACAATAAAAACCTTTCCTTTTTTGTCCAGGAGCTGCATACATTTCATCTGCTACGTGCTTAATATCTATACACATATCTTTCCAGTGCTCCAGTTTTTTTATCCTGCCCTGCCTAGAAGGCCTCTTTTGCCCTTAACCTCAACCTGTTAAATACTGTTCGGTCAGAAGATGGTGCTGCCCATGGATTATGAGGCAGAGTAAAACATGGTGAGGTAGCACCATTGTCTTTTGAAATGGGATAAAGACTGTGACAATGACAAGTGCCAGCTTATTGGAGTACGTTGGAAATTTTCAATTTTGCTAGGGGAAAAGGAGATGGAAATTTCACCCACCTGCAAAACTGCAAAAATTCTGTCAATTGGTTGGCAAAATGTTGATGAAAGACAACAAAATTTCATATTTCAAAATTTTTGACCAGCTGAAGAGCTGGAAATTTTCAGAAAGTTTTCATGAAAGTTACACCCTGTTTTCTGGCCAGCTCTAATGTTTGTGTGTGTGAGTTCACGAGGGATATTTTAACAGACTTACTGAATATGAGACAGGTGCTTACCCGCAACGCCCAATGCCAGTCTCCTGCTACTTGCTTCACGCTTGATCCAGTGATGTATCCCAAACCACTGCAAAAAGTACAAAGAAGGGAGCCAGTTTTAATAAAGTGCTATAGGTGTAGCTGTTCTCAAAGACCGTGAAATGCAGACAGAACAGTCATGGTCAGCTGCCCTATCTGCAAGTTCCCTTTTCCTGCAGAGACAAGAGTAAGCATCACTAAAAGCAGAAAAAGTGGAGAACGTGTAACTTCTAACAGCATGATGGGTCCAAATATCCTCTAGTTTGGTGGAAATTTAGCTACTGATCTGAACTTCACTGCAGGCCCTTTGCCCTATAAGAGGTTGAAACAAAAACCCAGGATCCAAAGACTGTCCCATTCAGGTTCCTACTTCACACCAATCACTGCAGTAAGCTGAGCACCTGTGTTTTGGGGCCCAGACCTAAAATTAATGAGAAGTGCCATCAAGTTTATACCGCACCAAACCATTTAAATGCCATCTGTTAATTTAACAGCAGTTGTTCCGGAATATGCATCAAGAGACTGTTTTTTATAAGTTCATACCAAAAATCTTAGCAGAACAAGCACATAGGGCTGATGGGCAAATATCATAAACCTGTCAAGAGGTTAGAGAAGCCAGCAGACTTTCAGCCAGGTATCACAGATCATGATCAGGTAATAAAAGGCAGCTCTAGCTGAGTGGAAACTACAGCGATGCTTCCCTATAACTGAAACGAACAGGCACGAAATCGATCTTTCAAAAATGCCAGCACTCAGCGCAGGGGCTGCCTTGGGTACAAGCTGCCAGAGCTGTTCCAGGGTGGCTGGCTGTTGCCAAAAACGCTTATTGAACAGCCTTCTAAGCCATGCAGGCACCCAGTTACCATCAACACCATTCTGGTACTAAGCCATTCACAGATATGGCTCCAAAACCAAACCACAGATCCAAACTCCATTACACTTTGGAAAAAATCAGGTCCAGAGCCAGAGTGAGCAACGGGGCCCCATTTCTAGCCCTTTGCCATTATCAAGCACGTTTGTCTTTGGAAGGAATTGGTTTGTTGCCAACCACTGCTCAGCTCAGTTCTCTACAGAAGTGTTCCGTTTCCTAGGGCTGTTTAGGAAAAAGTTATTTCCATCAGTTAAGGACCAGCCATTTCTTCTTCCTGAAGAGCAAAAGAATGTTTCAATCTTTGTTTTGAGGTTACTGCCATAAGTTCTAGCTGGCGTATCACCATCCTAATCCAGATGTTTTTCACTGCAATGGTGGAGTTAACTGCTGTCCGGGTTGTCCCTTTCTGGAAATGAACTCACTGTGCCACTTCTTCAGAGGAAGTCATCTGCTTCTGGGAATCTGGATCCACATTGTCTGAGCCCACCCTGTCTACAATCTCACAATGCAAGGTCAACCGTCGTAAAAAATACAGGATCTCTCTAGTCCCAACAATCAGATACTGCATTGGGCTGATAAGGGAACTCAATTCAAAGAAAGTGCTAGGGGAAATAATTACTCAAAGATTGAGTCTGGCTGTTACATTCATCAGGAGACTATGGGCTGTACGGTCCTTGACTCCTCTGTGTAAGTTGAAGCATGTATGCTCATTACAGCAGCTCTCCTCAGCCTTGTCTACATTAGACTTTTAAAGTAATTTCCCACGGTTGTTGCTGCAATGGTGGGAGTACTAATAGTTTTAACCACTGGGTCCTCTAGACGGTCTCTGCCAAATGTTGCAGATTCAAGTAGGTTAGAGTTTGAATGTAAGCTAAAGAATGCTTTGGAAAGGCCAAAATTTCAAGAGCTAAATTGTGCATCTGACCTGCACTCTCCAACATTCACATGCCTTAGATAGATGTGCCAGCAATTACACTTTCACAGTTTTGAAAATTTAGCCCTTAGCACCTTAACCTAATGACTCTTCTACAGTATATGGTAACTTGGAAGAACTTGACTCAAAAAGGCCCATACCTCAAATGAATAAAAGCAACAACTAAGAAAACTGGTATAACATTATTCATCAGTTATACAAGTAATATTGCTTTTATTCCAAAAATTTACATGCTAAATAGTTATTTGCTGTTTTCATCCAGCTCTGTTAATTAGTAATACCTCACATTTATTCCATGCAAGGGTCTTAAACTTGCACATGAATCAGTGGCAAAACAGGTACCAGAACCCGTATCTTCTAAGCAGCCCCTCTGCTAACCATCAACCTGCAAACTTTTCCCTCACAAAACAATTCAAATCTAAGAAAATGTGTTTTTCTTGTCAGCCGCTTCGGATGTATGATAATTTACGAGAACTGCAGCGGATTGATTACCTGCCAAGAGGGATTGCAAAGTAGAAGACAGACAGCATGAGGGTTCTGGTGTTTTTGGTGAAAAGGTCTCCTATGATGGTGGGAGCGATGGTGGAATAACTGGCTTCACCGATGCCAACCAAACCTCGTGAGAGGACGAGGAGCCAGAAATACTGAGGGAAGTAATAAGAAAAAATTAATCAGTCATCAAAATGGTTGATAATGAAACAGTCCAGCAGGGAAATGCAAGCCCATGTGACCAGTGGATAACACTTACCCCCCTCATCCCGCTGTCACTCTTACCACTGCTCCTTATGTTTGTATTCCCAGGGGAAATGTCAGTGCCATATTTCTGTAGTGGTTTACACATATTTTAAAAAATAACTGTAATAATAAACCCTTGCCCTAATTTGCATTCCAGAAGATGTTCCAAGCCTTCTGGCTATGAAGGATACATTGGCAGCTAATATGGTTAAAGAATGGGAAGCAGGAGATTCTCATTTCACTCTCAGGGGGAGGCTCAACCATAGGAGGTTTATGGATATAGACAGAGCAACCCTAGAGGAAGGTTTGCGGGGAGCTGAGCTGACGATGACTCTCATATTTGAAGGTCTTAAATTATGAGTATAAATCCTCGTTATCCAAGTTGCCACAGAGCACTGGGCTGAAAAGTCAATCCTGGTGCAACTTTTAAGACTCTTCAAAAAGTATGGAAGAGCTTCTCCAGTCGGCACAGATAATCCACCTCCCCGAGAAGCGGTAGCTATGTGGACAGGAGAAGCTCCCCCATTGACATAGCACTGTCTACACAGGGCTAGGTCAGCATAACTCCATCGCTCAAGGGTGTGGATTTTTCACACCCCCAAGTGACTTAGTTATACTGATATAGGTCTGTAATGTAGACCCGGCCTTGGTCTGCTTATAAAGCAGTCAATGTGCTGCTTATCGACAACAATGGGGGATTCAGGGACATCCCAGGTAATTGTACATGTTGCACAAACATAAAGCCGGCAACAGAAATCACTTGGAAACAAGTGCACTCTCTGCAAGCAGTGGAAGTGAACAGAGACTCAATACAGACCAGAATATGTTAGAACAATGTGAGATGCAACAAACTGAAATCTAATACAAGCCAGCATGGAAGAGGAAAAGGAATTTTCCACAGACGTCAGGGAACTAACAGAACGCATTTCCTGATGGTGGCTCCCCTCAGATCTGACGTTATATAGAACACTATAAGCACCTGATTTTCAAGCCAGATTCTCTGTATGCTTGCAGCTTTCTGGTTGCAACTGTTTGCAAGCATAGTTCATGCCACTTTGATGTCTAACTACCTGATGCACTAGTACAACCCATACTTAGACATCAAAGCAACATGAGCTGCACTCAGAAAAAACTGCAGGTGCAGAAATGCAACAGCAATTAATTGCAGCTGCAGACTAAGGAAAAGAAAAGGGCTGGGGGAAGCCAAACTTTAAAAATCTAACCCTTACAGGCCCCCATATACAGTCACTTTTGTTATCCAGTAGGTCACTTGGGAAAGTTGGAGCCGTATGGATTGCACTCATCCCTCAAATGAAAAAGCACTTTGCAAAGGTATGTATTATTGATCCCCTTTCACAAAGGGGAAACTGAGTCAGAGAGAGGGCAAGTGACTTGCCCTAGGTGACACAAGTCTAAAGCAGTGCTGGGATTGGAACTCAGGCCTCTTGATTTCCAAGTTCCCTACTCTAACAATACAGAGTCCTTGCTGAGTTGAGCAGTAAAACGTGGGCGCGGAAGCACCTGCTTTACCACATATACATCTGCTGGTAGACAATTTCAGTGCTTCCTCTAAACACACTAGCAGTGCTTTGCACAGCCATCATCAACCTCTTATTTGGATGCCAGTTGTACCTTGGTATGCATTTTCTGAATGTAATTATAACTTGCTGGGTGTTTGCAATTACAGGTATAATTAAATGTCTCCTCTAGCCCCGTCATACTGAACAGATGCGCGTGGGTGCCTGCAGAAAGGGCAACATCATGACTCAAACCAGTTACATTATGTCCATTGCCCAATGCTAAACCATTCAGGAATGCTGTGGAGATGCACTGCCTGTGACTGGCACACTGGTAGCCAATGCGGTTGGGATAAGTGGCATTATTCATATACATGCTGAATGCATTAGGGAGGCAGGATTAGAACTGGGCAAAACTGGAGGCTGGTTTTGGTTTGCACACGTTCATCCGTTGGTTTCTGGTGTTGCAAAATCAAAACCAACCGTGGTTCAGATATGGATCCCAACATGTGATGGAGATGGGGATAAAGAGGCTCAGTTCCAGACCAATAACCAGTAAATATGAAATGTCAACCATGACAGGAAAGTGGCAAACTTGCTGACATATAGGACCTTTCTAAAACTTTATCTATATGAAAATACCACCAGAGAGATACAGCAACAAGTACAATTCTCAATAACCACACTGCGTGGGGTTTACGCAGTGCACCTCTCAAACCCTGCCTACGCATCTTGTGCAAAGCTTTCCCCCCGTTGCTAACACCAGTATTGATAACGTTGGGAGTCCAAGTGCACTGAAAACACCTGCAGCCCCTGGTAGCCTATCCACATCTCACACACAGAGCGCCCAATCCCCTTTCCAGAATTTCTGCCACTCTCTCTCTCATGCTTTGGGAGTCTGAAGGTACGTCTACACTACAACAGCACGGCTATGGCACTGCAGCTATGCCACAGTAGCGTAGATGCTTCCTACACTGATGGAAGGGAATTCTTCCATTAACTTAACTGCATCTATAGTAGGGGTTAAGTCAACTTAAACTACGTTGCACAAGGTGCAAAATTTTCCACAATCCGAAGCGATGTAACTAGGTTGACCTAAATTTTAGGTGTAGACCAGGCCTGAGTGATGAGTTTCTGACTATAGATGGTGATCAACATAAGACTCGCGTAAGAGAAAAACAGCATATACAGATGTAAGCAGTGCTGCATTTCACAGAAGGAATCTTCAAGGCAATGGACAAAAGCACCTGACCAGATGTAGCAGCTAGGCAGAAGATATAAAAATATTAAATCAGATTAGGGCATTATTTACAGTCATATCCTAAGTACTCAACCCCCGGATTAAACATGATTTATATTACTGAGAGACCTCTCCAAGGTATTTCGATAGCACCTATCATCTAAGTACCTAAGTGATAAAATTACTCAATATGTCATTTCGCTGTATGAACCAAAGCCTAATCTTCCAAGTTTAAAACACAGTGGACCATCGTGTTCCAACATTTTTCTTGTCAATGTGAAAAGAAAAAGCTCACTAGGTGCCTAGGGTAAAGTATGGTCCTCTCGCAAGGAAGCAGACATTTTCTTCTGTCCACACAGACCAAAAAAACCCAAACGAAAACAATCATCTCCAAACTCTTATGGGGAGGCCACAGTCATATAGTGAACTAGTAGGAAGTCCACAGATGTAATATATATAAAGAGACGTACCATACACGTATATTCATAGTTTCAAAGGCCAGAAAGGACCACTGTGATAATCTATTCTGACCTCAAACCTGCATGTCTCTTCCCCATGGGTGAGTAGGATAGTTTCCATTAGGTTGAGTCCCTTTCTTTCTGCTGCTTTTCCTTTTTGTCACACCCTGAGGCCCGGGCAGAACAGTGAGAGACATACCCTGGCCACCCTGTCTGCTCTGGACCAAGCTGCCTCTGAGAACAGCATGAGTAGCAGAGTGTGGGAATTGCTAATCGAATTTTACTCTTTCCCAATTAAGGATTGGTATGTATTAAAGAAGTTTATTCCTTCAAATATTACTGTGTAGTTCTTCCATAATTTGTTCCCCTGTGCAAACGCTTCTAACTCTGCTGGGGGATTCTAAAAGCCTGAGTCAGCTTTCAGCACCTAAGCATATTTTATCTGCATACAAATTAAGACCAGAAACCTCAAGGTTTTGGTACTTTTTTCCCTGCATCAGTGATGACAACTTGATGGAATGTTTGGACACTTAAGAACCAGCAAGGCAAACACTTTGTTTTCAATAAAGGTTAATGATCACACTCAGGAGTATGGGTTTTGCATTGCTTCCCATCATGTCTGCCAATGACCCCCCGGCACCTGAGAATGTAGCCCCCCGGAAGTGAATGCAGCGTGCAAATCCACATCTCTCCATCTGCTGCACTCTCAAGCCCTAGACTTATCAGCACAATTCCAGCCACGGCGCTAGCAGCACCAAAGTGGGGGTACAGACAGCAGGAAAGGGAACAGCCCATCTGCATGGCATAATCCCCTGGAATCCCCCCTACTCAGCGAGGACGTCACAAAGGGACGTCAGCAAGGTAGGGTTCAGGTGCCCCACAAGTTGACATGGTGGAGAAAGGATGAAGGCTGGTAGAGCAATGGTGTCTCTGCCACTCTTGTTGGACACTCCCCTGAAAGCCACGTCACCACGGGGCTTACCACCTGGAAGGGGCAGGAGAGTGGATGGCAGCAAAGCAGGAACTGTGGACTTGGCTCTTCTCTTCCAGTCTCTTTAAGGGGAAATGTGGCCTTTCTCCAAGTTCCCAGGGCTTTACTGCTTTGTCCACACATCCCATTGCTGGAAATACAGGGTTGTACATAGTCGTAACTAAAAAAAAAGAAGTTTTGGAAGAAGTATAAATCTTTATGCTTCAGGGCATAAGCCAACCTCTAATAGGGGCTGGCAAGGTATTTTCTCTGAGGATAGGCTATCCCGTAACTGCCCACTGCTGGGTTTCTTGCACCTTCAGCTGGACTGATGGAGACACTGATGGAGAGGGGACACTGGGCTAAGAGGTCCCTGGATTGATCCATTCTGCCAATCCCTACAATCCTGTTAAAAACTAGAGACCAAATTGAATCCTTACTCAGTTCTTAAACAGGCACAACACACAATGCAAACAGTAAGGGCTTCATTATTGGACTCTAAAATATTTAAAAGGCACCAAGGCATTGCAATTTTCTCTAGCACACCTCAACAGGTTTACATTAACATCTTCATACTGTTTTTATTCCTGATCTCACACATCACATCAGAATTCAGTAGGCCAGGATGTCCTTTGACTAAGCAGTACAAGTGACTGCCTTTAATTGTGTTTGAACGAAGCCACTAATTACACATTTAGCCCAGTGGCACAGACCATTGAGTGAG